AATTAAATTAAATAAATAAAATAAAAATAAAATAAAATAAATTTTAAAAATAAATATAAGTAAAATAAAAGCATGTTAAATAAGAACATCTTAACCCCTAGGGGCTTATGGGGAAAGGGAAGCTTCTTAGTACCTCCCTTTTTAAAGAAAAACTCTTGACTTCCTGACCTGGAAAAAGAAAAAGCCATAACCCTTTACTGTTTAAAGAGTTAATTTTCATAGAGTTCTATATAGTAATATTCCCATATGCTGGATCTATTTAAATGTTGAGAGCAGGACACTGTAGTTTTGCAGCTACATACTGTAGGCTCCATCTGTCTTGTTCACCACTGTAGGCCTGTGCTTGGCACAGAATTGGTCTTAATATATCTTTGATCAGTGGATAGATAAATGAAACCCTAAAATTATAACCTAACTTAGGAAAAAAAAATTTTTTTATTATACAATGGGCCAGGTGTGGTGGCACACGCCTGTAATCCCAGCACTTCGGGAGGCTGAGGCAAGAGAATCATCTGAGTCCAGGAGTCCGAGACCAGCCTGGGCAACATAGTGACACCCTGGTCTCTACGAAATAAAAAACGTAAATAAAATAAAACATACAATGAAAAGAAGAGACCAAAGCAAATGTGAAAACTTAAGACAGAAATCAGATACATGGCCAGGCGCAGTGGCTCACACCTGTAATCCCAGCACTTTGGGAGTCTGAGGCGGGCAGATCACTTGAGGTCAGGAGTTCCAGACCAGCCTGGCCAATGTGGCAAAACCCCGTCTCTACTAAAAATACAAAAATTAGCTGGGTGTGGTGACATGTGCCTGTAATCCCAGCTAATCACTTGAACATGGAAGGCAGAGGTTGCAGTGAGCCAAGATCATGCCACTGCATGGGCATACAGAGCCTGGGCGACAGAGCAACTCTGTCTCCAAAAAAAAAAGCAGATACAGGACTTGGTTAATTCAGCTTCATGCTGTTAGAATATGCACTTTTTTCAAGTCCATCATAGGCATAAAGTAAAAACTAATGTTTATGAAAAAAGGTAAATATGACATAAAGAAATGTGGAGCACACCCACTTGTACAGAGTGAGTCTGAGTCTGTATCTTCAGTCTTCACCATCAGGAGGGATACCTAGTTCTTCATCTGTCCACTGGGAAGGATCAGGATACGGAAAGTGACCCTGGTGACAACCATTTAAAAGAAAAGTCAAGAATTTACATTCCATGCAACTAATTAAATTGTTAAATAAATCTTGGAAAGAAAAAAAAAATCAATATGGCTCAGCCCCTGACCACAGGAACAAATTCTACTTCAATTATTCGATGGCCCACCTGTTCTTTAGTTTATTCATTATATGGGCCCTGGCCTGAATTTTAAAAGCCTCCCCATTTGGAGGTACCAGCCTAAGCCAATGGTACGTGTTTGTGACGGAGGGAGGATGGGGGAAGTGGACGCAACAGGTTTCAAAGGTTCCTGACATCCTGGCAGTCCTGGCAAAATATGTTTCCACCTCTCCTAACATGACTGCTGTGAAATGGAGAAGCCTCAGGAGAAGCCTCAGGTGGGCTTCCTCATCTTCAATCCTGATCTAAGGGCTTATCTGGATGCATCATCATCATCTCAGACCTAACAGCTATATACACTATACCCACTCTGGACAACTGACCGACAGTGAGGCAGGGGCACCTCAAATATTAAATGTGCTGCCAGTTCACAGACACCCAGGCAGCTCCTTACTGAAGGACAACGGCACAGAGAAGTTCTAAGAGAAATGGGATATGAAGCCACCTGATGCTTCTAAAACGTACATACTGCTTAAGATTTTTTTCCTATCCTGGAAACAAACCCAAATTTACTAAAATTCAAAGTATTCTGGATCAACAAGCACAGATTTCAATGTCTTAAAGGTGTAATTTCCTAAAGAACAATCTGCAAATGTGGTAAAACCTCAGTTGAGGCTAACAATATGTTAGAAAATCACTAAAACTAACTTCCCTTCTCAAGACAAATTCACTCATATCCATCCCACCCAAACCTGGCTGCCCTGCGCCTCTGGACGGACTAGAAGACATTCGTCACTTAACGGAATGTAAGTGTGAAACCTAACCTACCAATGAACCGCTAGTTCAGAAGCTAAAAGAATTCATTTCTGGCCGGGCGCGGTGGCTCACCCCTGTGATCCCAACACTTTGGGAGGCCGAGGCAGGTGGATCACTTGAGGTCAGGAGTTTTGAGAGCAGCCTGGCCAACATGGTGAAACCCTGTCTCTACTAATAACAAAAAAAAATTAGCCGGCGTGGTGGTACACACCTGTAGTCCCAGCTACTCAAGGGACTGAGGTACCAGAGTCACTTGAACCCGGGAGGCAGAGGTTGCAGCGAGCTGAGATCGCGCCACTGCACTCCAGCCTGGTGACAGAGTGAAACTGTCTCAAAAAAAGTTAGCTTCTAGTCTCCCTAGGATGGCCACGTAACAGAAACCTTAAGAAACCGACCACCTAAATATACATCCTTGTGTAAAAAAAGGTGAGAAGATAACGTTTCATTAAATAACAGGATTCTCACATATACATATGGACAACGTGGTGGCAAAGGGCTATGTCCAGACAGAAAAATGGTCTACAACAGAAAAATACACCAGTTAAGCTATTAATACATCCTCCCTCCCCCTACCCAAAAAACGACAAGAGCGCTTCTCCTGCACTTACCAGCACGTCTTCTGAGTCATGCCAAAAGCGCCAGAGGATCCAGAACCACATGAATCCACTGTATAACTCGCCCTGGAACACCTGGGATCTGGTCAGCTGGGGGAACTGTCTATACCGGGGCTCGATGTGCACACCCCCACCGGCACTGCAAGACAAAACAAGGCTGACAGCGTGCCCGTTCTCAAAGCATTACGTCATCCAGAACGCCTCCGAGTGACATCCTGGAACCAAAGCTAATGTTTCTCCTCTCCACTGAAATACACACAGTTCACAATCCCTTGAAATACTCATCTTTTACTAAGCTTGCTTCATGTGTAGCAGCAAAAACTGACCAAAACTGACAAGAGGCTCATTTTGGTTTTCAATTAGTGAAGATTCATTATTTTGCACTAGAAATTTGAATGTGTTGATTCTGGGGTGCCAGCTCCAAAAGTTTTAGTTAAGAGACTGTGAACTTGTTAGTAGGTCACTAACTTACTCAGAAAAACAAATTAATTTTGTTTAGCTATCTATCTGAGAGGCAAATTATGTCCTCTGCCTATTACAATCTTTATTAAAAGGCAACCATATGGGAAAGAGGACTCGCAAATCCTATTAAATATGCTAATGGCTCTGAACAAAGAACTTTAAACAGTAAGTTTGAAGACGTGTTTCTTTTTACTTCATTTAGACTTTTGACAAGTTGCGGCACAGAGTCCATAAGAGTTATAGTCAATGTATTCAGTTGGAGTATAAATACTATACATTGCATCTAATTTAAATTATTTGCACCTACTGGGGCTATTCCTAAAACCTATTCAGCAGCCATACATACGCTAATACACAAAAGTGGATAAAAAATTTTTTAAAGAATTCCTATATAAAATATGTTTACCAGTTTCATCTAGGTAGGAATCAGCTTATCAACCATATTCTCTTTTGTGCAGCACAGAAATTAGTACCTGTACAAAAAGTGCATTAAAATGTCTTGTCTTCCTAATGCACAGATTCGTGAACAGTAACATGGCAGTGGTTCTTGATACACGTTAGCTAGGACTGTTTGTTTTGTTTGTTTGAGAGAGTCTCACTCTGTCGCCCAGGCTGGAGTACAGCGGAACAATCTTGGCTCACTGCAACCTCCGCCTCCCCGGTTCAAGCAATCCTCCTGCCTCAGCCTCCCACGTAGCTGTGACTACAGGTGTACGCCACCATGCCCAGCTAATTTTAGTATTTTTTTAGTAGAGACGGGGTTTTACCATGTTGGCCAGACTGGTCTCGAACTCCTGACCTCAGGTGATCCACCCACCTTGGCCTCCCAAAGTGCTGGGATTACAAGCGTGAGCCATGCTCCCGGCTGTTTTGTTTTTTTAAAGATAGGCTCTGTCGCCCAGGCTAGAGTGCAGTGGCGTGACCTTAGCTCAAGCGATCCTTCTGCTGACTGAGCACCTCCTGGGCTCAAGCAGTCCTCCTGCCTCAGCCTCCCTCCCAAGTAGCTGGGACTACATACAAGTGTACACCCCCAGACCTGGCTAACTTTTATATTTTCTGTAGAGACAGGGTTTCCCTATGTTGCCAGGCTAGTAGACTGTTTTTATCCTCTCCCACTCTAAAAGATAACTGGCAGTTATCGAGTGTTTACCATGTGCCAGATACCACACTAAGCATTTTATAAGTTTTAACTCACTTAATTTTCATAACCTTACAATACGGCCTGTAATTATTAATGATTTACCAATGAGGTGCTATGTGATGGCAATGCCCAAGCTCTTGCCCACGAACACACACCATTAACAATTTTCTCCTTTTATTAATCAAAGACATAACTTTCAACTAGAATTCCAACCAGCATAAAACCAACATTACCACATTGAAATGATAAATTCCATTTTTTTTCTAAATAGTCATCCAAAATTTAACACTTTTATTTGGAAGCCTCTATTTAGAGTATTGATAACTAGTTATGAATAAGGTGATGTTTATTTTTTGCAGATGTGTATATATATGTACTTTTTAAGTATCATGTTTAAAAAGGTCCTACCAAATATCGCCACTTTACAACTTGAATGACATAGCATACTGTTTCCATAATGTCCTCATATACCAATATTATTTATTCAGGATCTACCTGTGTATATAGATATTACATTATGTAAATAAACCATGCAGGATCATTCAATGTAGTGTAACATGAGCCTTTTTTTTTTTTTTTGAGACAGAGTCGCGCTCTGCCTCCCAGTTCAACCAATTATCCTGCGTCAGCCTCCCAAGAAGCTGGGATTACAGGCATGTGCCACTATGCCCAGCTAATTTTCGTATTTTTAATAGAGACAGGGATTCCTTATGTTGGCCAGGCTGATCTCAAACTCCTGACCTCAGGCCAACAAGATCCTTATTCTTTGATAGCTTTTTGATACAATCTAGGTATAAGTGCCCAGCAGTAAAACTGATTAAAACAAGATTTGAAGGCCGGGCCCGGTGGCTCACGCCTGAAATCCCAGCACTTTGGGATACCAAGGCAGGTGGATCACCTGAGGTTGGGAGTTCAAGACCAGCCTGACCAACATGGAGAAACCCCATCTCTACTAAAAATACAAAATTAGCCGGGCGTGGTGGTACACGCCTGTAATCCCAGCTACTCGGGAGGCTGAAGCAGGAGAATCACCTGAACCTGGGAGGCGGAGATTGCAGTGAGCCGAGATCATGCCATTGCACTCCAGCCTGGGCAACAAGGGCAAAACTCAGTCTCAAAAAAAAAGACTTGAGTAATGCCGATGCCAGCATTATAGTTCAAACCCATCTTAGCAGCTCCCCACGCTTCATTATTGCTAGAGTGACATGTTGTTTTAATTATAACCTGAAGTAGGGACTGCAAGATGGAAACCTTTTGGAACAAAGATTTGAAAGACTGCAATTATACCACAGGAACAATGACAACAGTTGCCATGATTAAGGAATGTAAAGACTCAACACCAACTTCACGATGTTATGTTCCAAACCAGGTTGTGAACTGCACTGTGGCAAACTAGATACCCTGAACAACCCTCCAAATTAAACAACTACGCTTCTAGATGAGATTTTTAAGATTTTTACAAACATCACTGACCAGGCACAAAAGGAAGGAATCCACCAAGGGCAAAATCCAAGTAAAAACAAGGCCTGGAAGCTAAGCAATCACTGACGCTGCCTTCACCGGGAGCCCTTGAACCTCCCCCAGCATAGCTACATGAGGTGTGGGGACAAGAGACGCAGCCTGGAGCCCACCCAAGGTGGGAGGGCTAATGACGAGATCGCTGAATAAAGCTGCGGCCCCATATCGTAAAAGGGTGAAGAAGAAATAAACCTTCCATGGACAAGGGAACACGAATTTGTTCTCAGAAGCCAGTCCTCAGGTAGATTTGCACCCAAATTCACACTACCTGCATTGGGCCTGTGTAGACCAAAAACCCCAAGCCAAGAATTTAATGTGAGCTTGAATTGGGGCAGCGCCCTCAAGAGACTAAGAGAAGCAAGATCTCAAAGAAGTTCCAGGGAAAACAAGTTCAAGATCAAAAACCATAAGGGAGTAAGACACTATGCGCAAGTCCTGTAAGAAGGAAAGAGAACAGAGAAGAAACAACATCCAAGGAAATAATGGCTGTTCCAACTTCGAATGTTTGAGAGTCAAGTTTAAAAACAAAAATGCACCGTAACTGTTAGTTACTTTTTTTTTTTTTTTGAGATGGGGTCTCACTCTGTCACCCAAACTGGAGTGCTGTGGCGCGATCTCGGCTCACTGTAACCTCCGCCTCCTGGGCTCAAGCAATTCTCCTGCCTCAGCCTCCCCAGTAGCTGGAATTACAGGCGCGCACCATCATGCCCAGCTGATTTTTGTGTTTTTAGTAGAGATGGGGTTTCACCGTGTTGGCCAGGCTGGTCTGGAACTCCTGACCTCAGGTGATCTGCCCGCCTCAGCCTCCCCAAAGTGCTGGGATTACAGGTATGAGCCACCGCGCTTGGCCCAAGTTGCATTTTTAAAATATAAATCAGACCACATTACTTTCGTGCTTTAAAACTCCAATGGCTCCCTGTGATTCTTAGAATAAAATTCCGAGTCCTCCAAAGCCCTCTCTAATCTGACCCCACACTTGTCCCTGTGACCTGGTCTCTCCCACTCTTCGCCTGCGCTCCACTCCAGCCTGGCCTCCTGCCAACCCTGCGGGCTCCGGCCTCTCCACCTGATGCCTCCTCTGCCCTCTTATGTCCACCGGGCTCTTCCCTTGAGGTCTCTGCATGGTTGACTTCTCATCCCTCAGGTCCCGCTTCAAATCACACTCCCAGGCATCCCCACGCCATCCCCAAATACAATATCCCTTCTCCTCCCACACCACGCACTCTCCACATTAATCCCCAGCTGTATTCTTCTCTTCGTAATCCTTGACAGCACCTAAAAAACGTCCTTCTTTTCTACTTGTGTCTCTCCTGTCCAGGTGCGCTTCATTCTCTCTCATGTATTCTGCTATATCCTCAGCACCTACACAGGAGCGGGCATAGAGAAGACGCTCCATAAACACGTACGCACTTAATTATCACACCCTCTGAAATCAGCGTGTGCTACGAACAAGCCAATACCTCAGGGAGGAGCAGCATCCCCCCATCTCCTCACGCAGGACCAAGGGCCGTCGCTCGTGGCTCTCCATCACTCTCTTTGCCCAAGTCTCAGAGGACTTTGCCTTCTGCCCACCCGACACCTGCCTCAGCTCCAGATTCTTAATCCATGTGGGACTTCATGCAAGTCACTCCTTTCATTTCCTGGGCCTCAGTTCCTTAATAACAACAACAGTTAAAGAATACTTGTATGGTCCTTAGCAGGCACCAGCAATTGCTTTAAACACTTTAGTGAGGCCAGGCGCAGTGGCTCACGCCTGTATTCCCAACACTTTGGGAGGCCGAGGCTGGAGGATCACCTGAGCCCAGGAGTTACAGGCTGCAGTGAGCTGGGATCGCGCCACTGCACTCCAGCCTGCGCAACAGAGTTAGACTCCATCTCTTGAAACACACACACACACAAAACAAAACACGCTTCAGACAACAGTAACTCATTTAGTTCCTTGCAAATGGACGCTAAATGGGTGAGAAAACTGAGGCATTCAGAGAATAAGAAACTCTTCCAAGGTTCCGCTGCTGGAGTGTAGCAGAGGTGGGATTTGAATCCAGCCACTGTGGGGCCAGAATCCCGCTTGGAATCACGACCCCACACTGCCTCTTGGTAAAGCGTAGCTGATGATCTAAGGGATCTGGAATCATCCATTACTCTTTTCCAGCCCTGCTCTTATGGAATCTCCGCACACCACTAACTGGGTTTCGGCAGCTGCTCCCGGCCTCGACCCCCAGCCCTCAGCCCTCCGGTCAGCGTCTCGGGACACCTCGCGGGCGGCTCTGCCCGTCACTCTCCTAAACGCCGCAGCTGCCCCAGCGTGGGCTTCCGGCTTTCTTTCCTCTCACCCGACGGCGCTCTCTCTGGGCGGTCGCCTCCACTCCCTGCAGTCGGAGTGATTTTTCAGCATTAAAAAGCCGCCACGTGACGTCTCTGATAAAAGGCTGCCGAACCGACTCTACCCTAAATTCCGCAGCCAGGTACCAGGACCCTGGACCGCGCCCTTCCTAGGCCTCACCGCCGCCACCCTCCGCCTCGCTCCAGCAGCGTCCACAAACGCCGCGCAGGCTGCTTCCTCCGCCTGGACCGCCCGCGCCGGCGCCCATTCGCTCAGCCGGCTCCGCATTCACGCGTGCGTCTCCCGAGGGCAGACAGCCACTACGACCAGGACAGCCCCGCACACGGTGTCCCATCTGCCCAACGAAGTCTCTCCCTGTCTCCCTCCGCCCAGCGGGGTCCCTCTCCCCGAGCCGCGGCATCAGGGGACGGGAGGACTACATGTCCCAGCATGCCTCGGGACGCGGCCTCTCCAGGCGCCCCAGTCAAGGTGAGAACGTCCCAGGGACCCGCGCTGTCCGCTACAGGCCGGTGAGGCCCCCATCCCCTGCCGGACACTCACTGACGGACTCCACCATCTCCAGCAGTCCGTGGGCGGCCGCTTCTGAAAAGGCGGCCTCCAACGCGAGCGAAAGACGGCAGCCGAGTCAGGGCGGACATGCTCGCCTGCGTCCGCCCCGCAGTCCCCAGCCGCCTCGCCCTCGCCTACTTCACTTCCCCGGCGCCCCGCCTTCCGTGACGTCACGGAGTCGCCCATCTCCAGGAGTGGGGGAGGCGGCAGTTGCTTCCGACTGGGTTCTTTAGCTGCTGAAGGAAGCGTCTCTCCTGAGAGCAAAGCCCACGCAGAGCTTCTGGTTGCTGAGCTGCCCCGTGCCTCCTGAAACAGCTTGTTGGTTGCCCCTCTGATCCTGTAGGGCTAAAACTGAGTGGTGTGGCCGGGCGCGGTGGCTCAAGCCTGTAATCCCAGCACTTTGGGAGGCCGAGATGGGCGGATCACGAGGTCAGGAGATCGAGACCATGCTGGCTA